AAATATCGCTCTCAAGTACAGGCTGCGGAATATAAAGGTGCGTCATGCATGCAGTTGTTGCGCGCGCACGCTGCACAAAATATCACCCCTTCAGTCTTGTTTTGCCCTTCATATCCACATCTATGAAATAACATGATCAATGTTGAGCTCTATTTTCAAGTTTTAAATTGTCTTATCTTTGCTGACGAAAAGTACAAACGATGTCGTGCAGAATGCAATCGGTGTAACTTCTAAAACCGTGTACACTACCAACACTGCCGTCTTCACTAACACCATGATGGGTTATTTGGTGTAAACCTAACACCGCCATTTGGGCGATGTTGCATATTTTTGTTACAGAAGCTCCTTGGCGATGATCTGTTCAATGCAGTTATAAGCAACGGGAGAAGTGGACATTGCAGACCATTATTGGCCGCCTGGGATGAGCTCGTTTCCCCCGCATCCAATTACGGGGAGGAAACGGCAAATGATGGACGCCGGCTCTATCATGGCCTTGCAGGGTTCAAGCAGCGTGCATGGCTTGTCTCTCCTAGAACTTTGTGGTCAATTACAGAGCAACAATAAAGCACATTTAACCTGGAAATTCACGAACGTTTCCAGGTTTGGTTTGTGTTTAATTCAATAAATATTCTCCAATTATATACATGTACCTACACGATAATGAAATTATATTAATCTGCGAACGAAGCGAGACATTTATATTTTAAAAATGAGATCTTAAGTGTTGAAGGTTGCATTTTAATCCCATATCATGGATCGTTTTCGCTTATAGCCTCCGTTAGAGCATTTCCTTCCGTCAACAATAATTACCCCCAAACGAGGACCTTTTATAAACGCGCACATTTCACCTAAAGAATCGTCCAATTTTTCACGTTTATTAGGCAGCATTGAGTTTAGTGTGAATACAAACAGAGCGTTGTCTTCCTTTCTCATTGTCTGGTTTCCCTGTCCTCGTTTTAGTGCATGGTGTTATTTGGCCGTAGGCTTAGAATTTATTGTTGCACAGAGCCTGGCATTATTACAACCTTCTCAACACGTGGATGCGCAGATATCGTATATTTTGGATGATCATTTAAAGTTGTACACATTCACACTGTGACGTTAGTCTTGCGCGAATTCGAATTACTCTTTCGAGGTTGCGCGCTAGATTCGTCCCTCACTTCCTTTTATATTTCGATCTTCGCTCACTGTTTTTATTCGTCCTTTTCCCCAGTGTTTACATTTTATAAGGGTAGAAGCAACGCGACAGTGAAATCTTAGCCCTTTGTTTCACCTTTTCCTCTTTTGATCTTGATGGAGTGCGCCAGCGATCATAAATTGATGTTGTTTTGCACCGGTTGTCCATGCAATGCCAGTTCAGTTAGCCAACTCTCAAGGGGAGGTTCACCATATTCTAAGGGATGGACGAGAGACTATTAGGCGCAAAAGCACCGAGACTTATGTAAAGCGCTTCGGCAACTGATAACGGATATTATAAACGACTGTTCCATTCAAAGCTCCATAAAAATTGCTTTCTTGTTTTCATTGACGAAATCATGGTCTTTGCTGAAATAATGTACCTGTAGTCCTTCTGGCTTCGTACTCTCCCAACAGTCGTTTTGATGCGCTATATGAATTTTGTGTGCTTTATGACTATACACCCCGGGGAGGATCCAGAAGTGTTTTGGGGTCGGGGTCTGGCCTGAGTTTTTGTAATTCTCATTTTTGTGGACAAGCAGAAATGATAATGAGACGTTTATATACATGGCATGCATACGTTGTTTACAGTGGTATTGGTGCATTTACTTTAGTTATTTTTGTAATTTCCCGTTTTTTCTTTTAGTGTTTGCTGTCGACCTCCTAATCCCCCTGTTACCAAGCGTGTACTCTTATGGATATATGAATGATCTCAAACGTAGGCTCCTCAAAGCTTATATTTATCTTTCCTTCGACGACTTTGAATTATGAATCATGCATGGACACAATCACGCAAAAATAAACTAAAAGCAAAAACAGAAATGCGAATTACTGACAGGTCTGTTACTGTTTGAGCCGTTTTTTTGCAAGCAGGTGGGAGTCGAAAACAGGCCCATAGTTTCACGTCGCACTTGTTTATTGTTTTTCCCTGATGAAACTCGAAATCATCAAAAAGCCGCTGATGCACGGAGAGTAACAGGCTCTCGACCCGTGAGTGTTATTCTGTTGGGTCCAAAAGCAACGACGATGTTGAAATGGGACCCCGAATCCTTGTGATTCCGAGGCCACCTTTTTTGTCTCCAGTGTTTTTCTCCGAGGACGCTGACGGTAAAGA